TGTTAATTTAAAATAAATTATCTTTAATTAATCGAGTGAACGAAAAATTGAACAATAAATCTCAATGAAAAAAAATAAAACTTTTCGAAATAATCTCCATTTTTTTTTCGTGTCCTTTATTGAAGTTATGGCATGCAAATTGCCAAGGGTGAATGAAAAGTTGGCTTTTCAAGGAAGTGTGTAGACCATTTATTTACTCTAATACAATCCTCGAGACGCCAAATGGAATATTCACAGAGTCTATCAATTGAGCCGACTTTCACAAGGTTCTAATGTAAATGACGAAAGCAGTGACAGAATCAGTCACTCGTGGGGACTGTACTCGTACGTGGCTTCCAATGATTAGACCAAATAAGTCAAACCTGCGACCACCCATTCAACCCTCCCCCACTGGTAAACGCAGCTTTTACTGTTCTGTCGAAAACTGATTCAATGTCCCATGTGCGAATAGGGAACTCCCATGTATATAAACAACTCTGCGGTGCCATTTTCTTTGTTTAAATTCAAAACAGAGCAGCCATTTTTGATTTGGATCTGAAGAGATTCAAGTATTTGTTTTTGATAAAGTCTTTCAAGAGAAGAATTTAGTGAATGAAGAGTGATCAGCAGTTGAATTTGCCGGCTGGGTTCAGGTTCCATCCGACCGACGATGAGCTTGTGGTTCATTATCTCTGCCGGAAATGCGCCGGCCAGCCGATTACTGCTCCTATTATAGCCGAGATTGATCTTTATAAGTTTGATCCATGGGATCTTCCTGGTATGTTTGATGGTTTTTGTGGGTCACTTGTAATTTTTCTCATTTCTTATAGCCCGATTGAGCACAATGGTTTATTGAATATTGTTTGATTGTTACAGCTATGGCTCTGTATGGTGAAAAAGAGTGGTACTTCTTTTCTCCAAGAGACAGGAAGTACCCGAATGGATCCAGGCCTAACCGGGCAGCAGGAACTGGGTACTGGAAAGCCACCGGAGCCGATAAGCCGGTGGGGAAGCCGAAAACTTTGGGAATAAAGAAGGCTCTGGTGTTCTATGCCGGTAAAGCTCCAACGGGAGTCAAAACTAATTGGATTATGCATGAGTATCGCCTAGCTAATGTGGACCGGTCTGCTGGCAAGAGAAACAATTTAAGGGTACTTACTCTATCATCATTTCCTTCACTAATTTACGATTAAGATAGACAATACACTTGTTTATGATCTTGTTCTAATTTCGTTTTCAAGAATTAAATTATTTATTGATTATAAAATCTTAATCACTCATGTGATCTAGTATCATTAAACGCTTTTGCCTTTTTGTGTTTGCTTTTCCTAGTTCAGCACCGTGTAGATTACAAAATCCACCCCCAAAGCTATTTTCTTGATTCTACTTGAGTTTTGTGCAAGCGTTTGATTTTCTTCTCTTTGATGGAAGTTTTTGAAGCAAATATACTTTAATTGTCGAATTCTTCTGAAAATATTATGTGAATCCCTTGGATGTAACATCGTCCATGGAATTAATGGTTTGATTTTGGGCTATTGCAGCTTGATGATTGGGTGTTGTGTCGAATATACAACAAGAAAGGCACTCTCGAGAAGCATTACAATGTGGATCAGAAGGCGGTGGAATTTTCAGACAGCGAAGAACAGAAACCGAACGTGGACTCCTTGCGATATAATGTAGAGGAATCAGCTCAACAGGTTCAGCTACCGCAGCCCATGGCGCCGCAGATGCTGAATGACTATATGCATTTCGACTCGTCTGAATCAGTTCCGAAATTGCATACTGATTCAAGTAGCTCCGAGCACGTGTTATCGCCCGAGGTCGAAAGTGCAGCACCTAAATGGAGTGAGTTTGAACAATCCCTTGATAATCAGCTCAATTACTTGGATGGCTTTCAAGATGAACCTTTCAGCACCCAACTGCAGTTTATTGATCAGCTCTGTCTGTTTCAAGATATGTCCATGTATATGCAGAAGCCATTTTAGTTTCATTTGGTCAACATTATAGTAGATTATTAGCTTTAGGTAACCATGTAAATCCAAATCCATTCCCCCACCCCGCCACCACCCCAAAGTAAGGACTGGAAAATCTTGGATGCTGTGCACGTGGATGTTAGTTAATACAAAGGAGGAAGAAAATCAGCTAGTCAAATTTGATGTGCTTGATAAAGATGGTCAGAGTCAAAGGAGGAAACCAGAGGTTCAATCCGTTTGATGATGGCAACTTGATCATGATCTATAGGCGGCTATGCATCAACGATAGTAGGGTAGGTTATTCTGGCATGTTTAGAATGCAGTACTCGATTTTTTTGTTCTTTGTCTTGCATGATTAAAATACAGTATTCTTATGTGGAACAAGAGAATATGATTTGTTATATCAAACTTCTTTGTAGTTATGCCAAGATTTTATATTAGTCCAAGATCAAGATTTGTCACTATTTTCACAATTATTAAGGCAATATACGACATTGACATCCTCGATATAATCGTGTAAGCATAAGAGAGAATGAAAGTGATCATTGAAGGATCCTGAAAAGTTATCTCCTACTGATTTGTAACTCGACTTCAACTATTAATGGTGGACTGAATTATGAAAAGCAAGTGATATAAAGATGGTTCCAGCATCAAGTGTTGTTTGGAAGGTGGTGATATAAGCAGAATTAGATGAATAACATCATCATTAATATTGTAGAATGTACTGTACATCATTCCTTCCTCTTCCCTCCAGTGATTACTATTCTATATTACATTATATAATAGAATTACATATATTGTATGTATATATAAATGAAACAACAGGGAAAAGAAAAGAGAATCCAATCCTACTGATTACAAGATTGCACGATTCGATCTTGGGGGCTGATCACAATTTGCTGCAGTCCAACCTATTGCTTGCTTCTCATTGTCATAAATCAACATTTTATCTTGCATTGAAATATCTGCACCAGAAGAGGGAATTTTGTTCTGTAAGTTCTACTTATTTACTTATATAAGTAAAGTCGTTAAGGTTCCAGAAACATGAACTATATCTTACCCCCAATCATGTTGAAATCATTCAGTCCTATGTCAGTGCCATTCAAGATTCCCAAACAAGCATTGCCTTTTGACTGCACAAGGCAATTACCAGTGAACACACAGAAATTTTCATGCTGAAAAAGCAATAAAAATTATGTTCAAGCTCTTACTGATATTATGAGATACGCTTCAGGGGAAATTTCGAGCTGGGGTTTGCTTTTCCCACCATTGGGAAATCTCAACGCTAGAGGCTTGAAGTATTTCTTTACGTCGCGTTTACTTTTGAAAGGTTTCTTGCCTTTCCAGCAGAACGGAAGAGTACGGTCATCAGTTGCTTCTCTCAGCTTCCCACTTAATCCTTTCTTTATCTACAAAATTGTCTCGCATGGCAAATATAATGTTTAAAAAAGTAGGATACGTAACTAGGAAATATGCTTAAAAAAGGTATAGTCGAATTCAAAGGAACTACTTAAGGAAATAAATACGTATATTTTCAAGTTAATTGAGGTTAAGGCTCCGGGATGGAGGGAATATATGTAATAAGGGCAAAAATCCGACACAACCAATACTTCTTGATCGTCAAGAGTGTATGGGGACGACGTTGGGATTGTGATCTTGCAAAGGGAAGGGAAACTTTATGAGTGGTCAGAAAGAAAATGCAACTCACCATAGAAATCAGAGCATGGTAAACCTGAGAATTAAAGTATGTGTAAGAGCTCCCACTGTCGAAGATCACGTTAAGATTCTTAAGCCCAGTACTTTTCCCCCCGAATACAAATTCTGCATTTCCAGCTGAGTAGTGCTTGCTGTCAACAATTATCAATTGAGATACTCTATTAGAAGTAGAAAATTATTTCCAAATGTACCAGAGGATAACAAAATGCTGTGAGCATATCAGTGTATTTGGGTACGGGTTGATGGGGGGGATCCGAGGGATGAAAAGGGAAAGAAGATTACGTGTAATCACGCGACATTGGTGTCCAAGTTATGCTTGACGAATCATAAACATCTTCTCCAAGGAAAAGGTACCCTCCTTGTCCACTTAAACAGTGCCCGACAACATTTTTGACAACCCCCTGATCATGAAGTTGTGAAACAATGCTCGATTTTCCTTTCCCGAGACCAAAGACTCCATCTACGGGATGATCAGATATACCAGGTAGCTGATCATATCCACAACTGCAAAAGGGCCACACATTAATCTGGATCTTTTAAATCATATCTAGAGTTTGCAAATCAGTCACCTAGACAATACTGCAAAAATCGATACAGTATCATGTGGAGAAAGGCTACCAACCCGAGAGTCAGACGAGGACTAATTCGAACTCCACTGGTAAGATTGACTGTGAACAAATCATTGACGAGTACACCAAGGGAGGAACCTCCGTCTGCATACTCGACCTCATAATCACATTGTTTTGGGTTGTCACATCTATAATCACTTGAGTGCAAAGATGCACAAAGGGGATCTCTACAGACTACAAGGTCATTGGTGGGCCGATAAAGTGGGTGAAACCCCTACACAAAAATTGAAATATTAGGATGAGGTATTTGTACTCAGCCATGATGCTGCATAACACAAAATGCTGTAAAAAAAAAAAAAAAAAAAAAAGGATGTTTACTTGAGTGCAACGGACACAAGGCGCATCACATTGAAGCCAGGTTAGATCGCTGCCTGTATCGGGATCAAGAAAGTATGGCCTAGGCGGAAATCCTACAAAAACTTGGACAAAATAAAACCTGGAAGAATACTTCAGTCGATTAAATTCCCAGAAAAGACTTCATATAAATCTTGGAACTTCATTCCGTCCATCCATTTATGCACATCAAGTAGGAATAGTTGAAAATGAATACTTCAGTCGATTAAATTCCCAGAAAAGACTTCATATAAATATTGGAACTTCATTCCGTCCATCCATTTATGCACATCAAGTAGGAATAGTTGAAAATACACAAGAAATTGCTGATTAAATAAGAGTAAAATTTACATACCCATTGGGATAAACATTGCCATATAGTGGGAATATGACAGATGCCCCAATTCTACTGGCTCCTGATGAATAAGAAGAAGCTCCCTTGGACATCCATTTCTTCCATTTTTGCTGCTGATCAATAGAATTGGCACCTGATACAGCCAGTACAATAAAAATCATAATCACAATCTGCATCCCTTTCCCCATAACTTTTTCTCTTTCCGACCATAAAAAATTGTTAGTTCCTGCAAAAAACATAAGGCTTGTCTTTATAGACAAATCCCATGTTGTGGACATGAACGTTTGCTATTTTTGGGTTGAAGTCAACTGGATTCTTTTGAGGGTATTTTTCTTGAGAATTAAGATTGCTTTTGATTCACACATGTTCCTTACTTTTCTTGTTTGTTGATACCTTATCACATTGTATTCCATCCCTCCCCGGCCATGGGAAGTCTACTACATTAAGAGTAAAAGAATCACCATTAGAAGAATACTTGCAGAAAGGTATACAATTAAAAAAGGGGTTGCTGCTGAGACTCAAGATATAATTAATAATTGAAATACTTGTCGGCAATGGCGGAGAAGGTAGGTGGGGGCAGTGGATTCCGTTGCCCTACTAAAACGTGGAAGAGAAATTTCGGACCATATTACGTGTATATAAAAGTTGACACAATGGTTTACACTCATGTGAGTTGGTAGATTTTGGCACATTGATTTTGACAATTGTCAGATTGTTTACACATAAGGAGTATCAATCAAGGTGTACGCTTTGCGTGTATAAGTAATTTAATCCATTCCAAAATGCATTCTGATAAAAAAATTGAAGCTAAAACAAGGAAAATTTTATTAAAATTTGATAAAACTATAGATTACACCACCCCGCAGCCTTCCGAATTTTCCCGCATGGACGGACTAGAATGCACAACAAAACAATAGGAAGTTTACGGACGAAAATTTCAGGAAATTCCATCGGGCAAGCAATGACGGAGCCAGAACACAAAATCAACGGGGTTTAATAAATGTACCAAAAATGTACACTTTGATTGACACCTTCCTGTGTGTCAAAATCGGATAGTTGATTGAAAAAAATATTGTCAAGATCAATGCACCAAAATTTGTCAACTCAAATTGGTCAATTTTTATGTACATGTGGCACGGTCATTTTGGAATAGTATTTTGTTGAAGAATGTATGATTAAAAAATATGGAAAAGTTTTGAGTTTACGTTTAAAATTATTTTATGGGAAAATGTGTGATTGAAAATAAGTTTTGAAAAATGGGGCCAAACATAAACCTAATGAAATGTGAGGTTAAAAAGTTGAATGAATGTATGATACAAAATTTGGGTTTCCATGAAACGTGTAATTAAAAGTAACAATTAACTTTCACTTCAAATTTGTAGTAATTTGTTAAGCCTTTTGAAAAGAGCTTAACCAGCAATTTGATAAAATGGTGAAGGAGATCTCGTTGGGCCCCTACTTGGTTCAACTGAAAAGTTACGTATAGATTTATGTTCAAGTTAATAATTAATTTTATCCATACATTTTATTAGATTTACGATTTTTCAATCACATATTTCATCAATTTTTATCAAAATCCACTAAAAATCTAATTATTATTTAAACCAAACTTTTTATGTATTTTCCTCTTTCTCTTTGTCTAAATACATGTTTAAGTATGGTAGCCCAGTGCGACCCTACTACTCGGCCCAATATGTATGGCTAGGGGTTGGATGGGATGGGATTGATTTGTGTTTTACAAGACAATTTTTTTTTTTTTTTTTTGATAATTTAGAATTTTGGTAAATTGTTACAAATCATCGACGGACGAGAACATGAAATAAAATGATTCACATCAATTTTTCGCTTCAATCGCTTCGACCCACCCTGGTGAAAAATTGTAATTCATTGATTATCACAAGTATGTGAAATGAAAGTCGTCAAATTGTGGAATCGAAGAATAAAAATGCAACAATCACAACTTGTTGAACATGTAGTAACAAAATATCTAATTAAAGCACCGCATTTTTATACTTCTTATTAACTAGCCGTTATATAAGCACAATTTTCTTCCCAAGTTACCATCTTTTGTAACTTGTAAGAATTATCTAGACCGAGTAAAGCTATTCCAACCCTTTTAATAATTCGTTTTTTCTGAATCTAAAATCAAAGAAATGTACCATTTTTAAAAATAAAAATAATGAATATATATATATATATATATTTATTTATTTATTTATTTATTTATTTTTAATGATTAATGGCTTAGCAGCTTCGGGGTCCAGAGGACCATGCACATTTTATCATCTCCACAACAGATTAAACGGTTCTGGACAAAAGATAGAAATAAAAATCTTTAATTCAATTGCTCTTAGATCCAATTAATAAAATTCCCCATTTAGTGGGCATTTTTTTTTGGAAAAAAAATATTATTTTAAGTAGTGACTTTTTAGAGTACGTGTGGTTAAAAAATAGAGAAAAAATTATTTTTATGTGTAGAATTTTTTATTATATGAATGTCTAGTTAAAAATGAACATATAGAAAAAAGAGTTTTGAAAGAATGTGAGACAAAAAAGAGTTTAGTGATGGTTAGAGCCTATTCTACAAAAATTCATATTTTCTCAAACTCATTTAAAATCACATTTCTGTAATAAAATAATTTTATACGTAAATTCAAAATTTTTCTTTATTTTTTAGCCTTTACATTCTTAAAAAAAAATAAAAATCAGTATTACAAAATATATTTCTCAAATAACGAACCTTTATTTTATAGAGTTAAAATTAAATTTGGTTTTCTAGCCACTCTTTGGTGGGGATTAAAATCATATTTTTGTAGATTTTGCTAAAAGTTTATGAAATGTGTGATTGAAAAGTTATAGTTCTCATAATTGTCTCTGGCTTAAAGTTAAAATCTAGATTTTAATTCTAATAAAGAGCGGTTATCCAATGGAAAATACAAAAAGGAAAATCAATTCAAGATGAACAACGACGCAATTGAAAAGAACCAAAGAATTGAAACAATAACCATCAAATGGCTTTGGCGATGTCAGTAAGTTTTCTCTTTTGTTGAATTAAAAAAGTCAACAAGGAAATAAACAAGAACCAATGCCAACTCAAGTTTAGTGGCAACAGACTTGAGTGTTAAGGGATATAATCTCACATCGAATAAAGATGAAAATATAGGCTAATTATAAGATTTTGGGTTATTTCTCTTAATAAGGTTGACCTTTTAAAATAGAACTTCAAGCCTTAACATGGTGTCAGAGCTCATTAAACTCTAACGAACGATTCGATTTGAATAAAACTCAATAAATGAGTATACGGATTTTAAGTTTGGTCTGCTCAAATGAGTTACCATCTTGCAGGGGCATGTTAATGGATAAAATTTCACATCGATTAAAGATGAAAATATAGACCAATTTATAAGGTCTTGGGCTACTACACTTAACAAGATTGACTTTTTAATATAGAACCTCAAGTTTTAACATGGTATCAGAACTCATTAAACTTCAACGAGCGATTTGATCCGATTAAATCTCAATAAATGAGCACACGAATTTTAAAATTGGTCCGCTCAAACGAGCTACCATTTTGCAGGGGCATGTTAAAAGATATAATCCCACATCGAATAAAAATGAAAACATAGACTAATTTATAATGTCTTGGACTACTTCTCTTAATAAAGTTGACCTTTTTAGATAGAAGCCAAGTTTTAACATTGAGTCACAAATCCAATTAGATGCTTAGCTAGATTTTAGAATCTAGATGAAGAATACTCTAGAAGATTGCCGAGGAATATGCTGCTATGTGGTTAGAGTTTGTTTTTACATTTTGTTATTTTGTACAATTTTCTTATACCAACTTGTATAGAATTGATAAGAGCATATTCTTTCTTCTTTATAAATAGCAAAGCCATTGTCCAGAAAGTATATACAAGGTGAATGAATTTGAATTAAAATTCCCCTCCAAATAATTTCTTCACGTTTAATTTTTTGATATGGTATCAGAGCCAGCAATAACCGATTCAAATGATTCAAACAAACCCAATACCACTCAAAGCAATACCAATACCACTCAAACCAGTAACACAAATTTCAATCCCTTACACCCAAATAATCCCTTCTACATTGGCGCAAATGATAATTCTGGGTCGTTGCTTGTTTATCATGTACTAGACTTGAACAATTATCACTCCTGGGAAGATCCATGAAGCGAGCACTCCAAATCAAGAACAAGCTTGGATTTATTGATGGAAGCATCCGTTAGCCTACTGCTACAGACAGTCCTTTCATGGAGCACTAGCTTTGATGCAATTACATAGTCATTACTTGGCTATGAAACACCACAGCGCCTGATATCAAGTGCAGCACTCTATATGCTGATACAACTCATCAATTATGGAAGGAACTAGAGCAAAGATTTTCCTAGCAGAATGTACAAGGGTCTTTGAGATAAAAAAGAGTATTGCTAATTTATGGCAGAATCGGGCAGTGTAAGCGTATTTTTTCAAAATTGAAAACATTCCTTGATGAATTATGAATCTATTCCTAGTTGTTCAAGTGGAGGATTGAAAGTTGTGATAAATAACCAATAGAGAGACTGGGTTATGAAATTCTTAATGGGGCTTAATGATTCTTACAAAGGTTTATAGGCACAAATTCTTCTAATCAAACTCTTTCCAAGTTTGAATGAAATGTATGCCATCACACAACAAGAAGAAAAGAGGTGGTAGATTTCTTTTGGCAGTCCAACTAATGACACTATTGCAATGTTAGCAAAAAAGGAATTTCAATATGGCAAAATTGTATCACAAAAATCAGAAAAAGGACAAGTATTATTGAACTTTCTGTAAGATCCCTGGCCACTCCCTTGAAAGTTGTTACAAAGCTAACCCCAACAAGTCGCCTTGTTCCTACTCTCAAATGTCTGGACACTCAATAGAAAGGTACTACAAATTGCATGGATATCCTTCAGGATACAAGTTTGAAGGGAAAATAAATGTGCTACATCTTCTATCAACCAAGTTACTACTTTCATGCCTTTTAATCAGGAGCAGGTTAATGATAATGCACAACTTTCTCTAACACCAAAGCAATATTCTCAGCCGATGGCACTACTTAAACCATAACATCATCAAAAACTCCATCAAGTTGTTGCTAGTCATGTCCAAACCATTGTTACCTCTTCCGCTGGTGGGGCTATACCAAAAGTGTCTGGCATTTCTCTTGGTTTACCTGCATATAATACAAAGTACCATTGGGCCAATTCCCAATTCATGAACAAATGGTTTGATATTGGAGTCTTGGACAATTTGTTAATTTCATACGAGAATTCAATTGGACATTTAGGCTAAACAAAAATAGGCCTAGCAACAATTACTTCAGGCTTGAGCCCAAACCAAAAAAATAAAAAGAAAGGGAAAGGAGTGGTCTCTTTCCTCTGTCATCTTCTTCTCCCCACAATTTTCTACCCGGTGGTTCTAAAGCTTTCGGCGAAGCCAGCACACACGGCTGCACCCCCTCATCTGGTGCTGGCT